GGATGTGAAGCTATGTAATTACTTCTGCTATTATATTAAGTGCCATACTTTTAATAAAGCAAATGTACATATGAAATTATTGTAAGTGGTATTTCCTGAAAAGCAAACTTAGTACCTTCCTATATAAAGTTTTTGATATGTGCATATATGTATGTTTATTGGAAATATTTAGGATAGAATTTTTTATTACATTTTTTTTTCAACGTTTATTTTTGGGACAGAGAGAGACAGAGCATGAACGGGGGAGGGGCAGAGAGAGAGGGAGACACAGAATGGGAAACAGGCTCCAGGCTCTGAGCCATCAGCCCAGAGCCTGATGCGGGGCTCGAACTCCCGGACCGCGAGATCGTGACCTGGCTGAAGTCGGACGCTTAACCGACTGTGCCACCCAGGCGCCCCTTTTATTACATTTTATATTAGCATTTTAGTAGGTTCTTTTTTATGATTGAATATAAAGTACTTGATATATACTGAGTTTATTAGGTGCTCATTGGTTTTGTTAAGACTTCATTTTTCCTTTTTAGGGAATATGATTAGCTGACATATACAGTATGGGTGTATATACATATATACATATGTATCTTTGGAAGTAGACCCAGTAAATACGGTTCTTCCATAGGTGGAGGCCGAATTGATATTGACCTTGCCCCAGCAGAGGGCCGCATGTCTGGGGCTAATTTACACTTGAGCCCTAACAGAAAATGTTCATCATTAACACCTGAGGCACAGGTCTTCAAGGCTAGGTAGACCAGAGCTAAGAGTTTACTGTTCTGGGATTTAGCAAATTCTGGATCGCTAGCTGTCTGGAACTGTCCTGAGAAGAGCTTGCTCCTTTGAAACTCACACTTAGCACTTGGAACATATTTTACTGTTTTTTGATACTGAAATTTACACAGAAAACCTTGTCTGGCCATTATGCTAGTTGAGGTTAGTTGGGGTTCTTTTTCTATACTTATTTAAAAAAAAAAAAACCAGGTTCATAATCCCTTATATAAAACCCTTGGATCCAAATCTATTTCAGAAATCAGATTTTAGAAAGTTAATACAAGCATTCCCATCAGGGTTGGATAGCGCTCTTAAACACGTTAAATTCCTGCCGGGAAACCTATGGACACACTAAGCTGAACGCGCAGACGTGATAAATAACCTCACCTTAAGTTAGGGCAGATCTTGCCACCAGTAGTTTGCAGCAGACGCATTTGCAAGGTGTTCAGATTTTTGGAGCTTTTTGGACTTTGAAATTCAGGGTTAGGGAATTTTTGACGTGAACTAATTTTTGTATTTTCTTATTTTATGCTTTCCCCCTATTTTGCTTTTCCTCCTTTTGGAAAATGGAAACTGGGCCTGCGTGTGCTGCAGCTGCAGTCCAGGAAGGAGCCGGCTGGTTCTTCACTGCCAAAGGGGGGGTAGGGGGGTGGGGAGGTGGGGAGGGAAGCGCCCCCTGCAGGCTGAGCTGTTCACAGCGTCCACGGGGAACTCAGGGAGACCCCCTGCAGACCAGTTTCAAAGGCAGCGGGGAGAGTGGGGGGGGGGGGGGGGCGGCACGCTGAGAGCCCAAGGATGATGCTGGCAAAATGTACAAATCGTTTTAATAAAGAGGGGTTCACGGGTCTGATAGGTGTGTGGGATTCTCTCCCGTCAGTGCCCATGGACATCTTCCCTACTACAGATGTGCTGCAGATCTCAAGGTTAAAATTTGTAGTGCTGGGAGAAACGACCGATTACAGGTTTTAATTAGTCCTGCATTAAGCAGGGTTCTACCTGAAAACCCAGGACCAGAAGGTGCACGGATGCATATACGTGAAGACCTCTATTTCCGGGAAGTGACCGTGATTGTGGGGGCTGGCGAGCGTGCAATCCAGAGGGCAGGGGGACACCACAGGCGGCCAACTCCCCCAGGCGGGGCTCAAGCCGAGACAGTCTGCCCGTGGACCGTCCTCACCCTTTGGCTTCCAAAGCTTTTTCCATTGAGCAGATATGGCTGAAAGTAGTGCCATTCATTCATTCACTCATTCAACAGCCCCTCAGCATTGTGCACAGGCGTTAAGACAGGTGTTGGAGGCGTGAAGGCCCGCGTTCCATCCTGGCTGTCGGTTTGCACAGACCAGTGAGAATTGTCTGCACTGAGAGCCCAGTCTACTCGTATGCTAAAGCCAGCATGAGATTTTATTTAAAAATGTTATGTGTTTAAAATGCATATTCTTTCTCTCATGGTTGGTAAGCGGCTCCGGAAATACCCTCATATACTCTGACCACAAAGCTGGGATCTAAGAGGACAAAATCGAAGTTGCACTGTCTCCACGGAAAAAAATGGACTTTTACTTAGCGCCGCCCTTTGAGCAACCTGTTCTACCTGATAACAAGCGTTTGGTTTTGAAACCACAGCAAGTCTGAAGTGGAACCTAACGTAGGGCAAACTGCTACCACTGAGTAGGAAGCGTTCTGGGGAAGGAAGGGGCAAAAAACTAAAGCTCACACCGCCTAACGGCCTTAGTGTGAGGGGCTGGCTCTGCCTTGAAAGGAGCAGCTTCTCTTTCGCTGACCCCCAAAGCCGAGATGAACCTGGTGGGTGGATGGGCCGGAAGGACTCGTGCACGTGCAGCTCACCCCTTCCTCTTAGCTGGCATGTGGCTGCCTTCGGAACAGGTGCCTCCGTCTGGCCTGGGCATGGCCAGCTACCGAAGGCAGGGGCCCACAGTCCTGCCCGGCTTGGGAGAGCTTCCTGTGATACACAGCTGTCAAGGCTTAGGGAGGCCAGTCCACCTTGCTGCAAATCAAATTGTTTCTACTATGAAAGCTAACATTTTGCTCTTCACCTCTCTGACTCGTGTCCACTCAGCTGGCTTGGAAATGGAAAAAGAGGGGCTGTTTTTGAGGTCACATATCAACACTCGATGGTCTACATACAACCACTTGGTATACAGGAGTATCAGTGCACATAACTCATCAGGTAGGTCCGTTAGGGATGGTCATCGTCATGATCTTACACCTTTAATGAAAATTTAAATTACACTGCATTGACGTGTTCAAAAAGGTGTGTGTAATACATCTGAGAACACTGCCTATCTAAAAGCTTTGATTCTAAGCAAGGATAAATTCCTTACCACTCTGGAGAATGCAGCCACCCATACCAATTTCTTTCATGATGATTCCAGATAGCAAAAGAGCGAAAAAACACCTAATTTATGTCTTTTATTCAAAGGGTTCTGTCCCCCATACTTTCTCCTTGATTCTTTTTCTTGACCTTATGTCAACCGAGCTTGAAGATATTTGTTTTGCACAAACAGGGAGCAGGAGAGCATATGAGCAAACAAAACAAAGGCAACACTATTTACCGTGACAGTAGGAATGTCGTCACAAGAAAGCAGACATTAACTTAAAAAAATCAGGACTTAACTAAATGGAAAAAGGTGAAATACCAATTTAAAATCTAAAAACACCCATCCCCTACGAAACTGGAGATTGTGTTTTTTGTTTTTGTTTTGTTTTCTTTTGTTTTTTAGAGACGGCGAGCAAATGGGGGAAAGAGGCAGAAAGAGAAGGAGAATCCAGCTCAGTGTGGAGCCTGACTCCGGGCTGGATCCCATGACTCTGGGATCACGACCTAAGCCAAAATCAACAGTTGGATGCTCAACCGACTGAGCTACCCAGGCGGTCCTAGTCAAGTTTGCTCTTAACCAGGACACATGTAATTTTCACTCCGTACTTTCTATTTTTTTTTAATGTTTATTTGAGACAGAGAGAGACAGAGCATGAACAGGGGAGGATCAGAGAGAGAGGGAGAGGAGACACAGAATCAGAAGCAGGCTCCAGGCTCTGAGCCATCAGCCCAGAGCCCGACACGGGGCTCGAACTCACAAACCGTGAGTGAGATCGTGACCTGAGCCGAAGTCGGACGCTTAACCGACTGAGCCACCCAGGCGCCCCCGTACTTTCCAGTTTTTACGCACATAGCAATTTGAAAATCCAGGATTTGTTGTAAGTGGGCTACACTGTTAGATGAACACCTTGTTAACATATTAGAAACAGGGTTCCCTTTTCTGCTTTCCGTTCTGAGACTGCAGAAAATGAATCTGAACTGGTGTTTATAGTTACAAATCCTATAAATAGGAAGTTACAATGCTGTTGGTCCTACCACGTCTTGTGCTACTTGGAGATTCTAATTACAGCAACTGGTAAAACACAAAAATGAAACAAAACTATACAAAACATTAAAAAACCAAAAAGCCACCACTCTGTGACGACCGGCATTTAACAAAATGAGCGAGCGATTCATTCACACAAAGCTAGCCCGTTTTCACAGGCTCAGTGTGTCCTGTTTGATTTCTACAGTGGCATGTGCAACCCATTGGTATTAAACATATTTTCAAAAATGAAGAGAGTCTAAGGAGCAGCCAGTCCGTTACTGTTGTGTCAGAAGTAAATACACAGGCTGGGCAGTTATGAGTCCCACCCCCTCCTGGCTCTCTGATCCTGGTGGGCGACAAAACCCCTTTTGGACTTTGGTTACTTCACTTGTCAAATGAATGTCATCCCATTTACAGTTACCGTGTAGTTGGTGTTTGGATGGAATGAGACAATATGCCAGAGTTTTTTGAAGCGAGAACAGCCGTGGACATGTAGGCTCACGTTTCGGTTTCGTTTCACCGGCTGTCATATGACCTTCTGACTTGTCCTAGCTGAACTTTTTTTTTTTTTTTTTAACGTTTATTTATTTTTGAGACAGAGAGAGACAGAGCATGAACGGGGGAGGGGCAGAGAGAGAGGGAGACACAGAATCGGAAACAGGCTCCAGGCTCTGAGCTGTCAGCACAGAGCCCGACGCGGGGCTTGAACTCACGGACTGTGAGATCATGACCTGAGCCGAAGTCGGACGCCTAACCGACTGAGCCACCCAGGCGCCCCTGAACCTTTTTTTAATCACCAGGAACTTGGGGGAAAATGATACCTACCTCAGAATGCCGGAGAGAGGATTAGAGGACATAAAAGACAAACTGAAGTTTGTGAAAATGTAGGTTGATGTTTATTGCTTGTTGACTATGCATAAAGAAAACATGATCGATTTTGTAGAATTTATTCTCTTGACTACATGTTGACAATCAGATCCACCTAAGTCCCCTTAAAACCTGAAGATTTTCTCGTGAGACCTGACACGCTGTGCGTTAAAATGAGTGCGTGGGTTTCAGTGATACAATGGGACCACATTGAACTTTGGGGGCATTTAGACCAATGCTGTTTCCGTGGGGAATTAGATATTCACAACTGAACAGCCTAAGTTAATTCCACACAGCAATTCAATCTTTCACTGTAGATTATCTACAAGAAAGAAAAGGAAAAGTCGCAGCGGTTCTGATGAAAATAAGTGTCGCGGAACAAACATTTCCTTGTTTGCTGTTGCTAGACGTCTGTGTCTCATAAGTAGACACCATTCTGAGAGCGCATAGTTGCATCCTACTTCCGTTGGCACGTTTTTCCGTCCTCCGACTTCCCATCCACCATCTCGGTTTTATAGGATGTTAAGTTGCTTAGTGTGAAGGCCTGAGGTCGGTACCGTAAAGCTCACGGACACGAGGCAGGCGTTCGGTGGAAGATGCAGGTGGTTTAGAGGCAGACGTGACTGCTTCCGTGGCACGTCGTACCCGCGCCAGCCACGGACAGGTAAAGCTTCCCATCTGGACACACACAGATTTCATAGAGTTCTTGTGAGCTGCCGGCAGAGCCCTGAGTCCCCTGAACCAACTTGGGTAAACACACGGTTTCAGCGTCAAGCACGAGCTGTTTGGGAGAAAACAAGAGATGAAGTGGTCCAGTGGGATGAGCGGGACAGCATGAAACTCGAATCTCCAAATGCTCCAAACAGATTAGTTTTTTCTCCGCATAGAAAATGAAATGAGGCACGGGACTTAAGTCTTAGGTGATCATTATATGATCAGATTTTCTTTCTTTAAAAAAATTTTTAATGTTTATTTTTGAGAGAGAGAGAGAGAGAGAGAGACAAAGCACGAGCAGGGGAGGGGCGGAAAGAGAGGGAGACACAGAATCCGAAGCCAGCTCCAAGGCTCTGAGCCGTCAGCATGGAGCCTGACGTGGGGCTTGAACCCACAAACTGGGAGATCATGACCTGAGCCGAAGTCAGACGCTGAACCAACTGAGCCACCCAGGCGCCCCTAATATTTATTTTTTTTTGGGAGAGAGAGACAGAGAGAGAGAGAGAGAGAGAGAGAGAGAGAGAATCTGAAGCAGGCTCCAGGTTCTGAGCTGTCAGCACAGAGCCAGATGCGGGGCTCGAACTCACAAGCCATGAGATCATGACCTGAGCCAAAGTCGGATGCTTAACCCACTGAGCCAACCAGGCGTCCCTTCACAATTTTTACCTGTGAATGTTGGGATTTCTGTTGATTTTGTTTTCCTAGAAGAAGCAATTACATTCATCCAATTAGCCACCAACCATTTCCCTAGTTTCTAAAATATTTGAAACTGTGCTGCCTTCTCGTAGGTGTGGAAGAACAGGAGACACACAGATTAACGCCAGCTGAAAGTGAATAAAAGCTATTGGGGTTTTTGCTCCTATTCTAGTTGAAACTGAAATGTAAACAAATGGTCATTGGTTGAGGTTTGAAATTCTGGGAACAAAGAAAGAAGAACCCTCTCACCGAGTAGCCAAATCTCACCCACTCCAGGGCACTCGCTTGTTAGCAGGAATTAAGGTGTGTCGCAGGCAGGCCGAATGTTCTTCCTTGCAAACAAGGCTGGACTCTTCTTTATTTACATACTCTTATCTACAAACTCCAGTCTTATTTTTTTAACTTTAAAAAAATTTTAAGTTTATTTAATTTGAGAGAGAGAGAGAGAGAGAGAGGGTGGGGGGGGGGGGGAGGCCCATAAAGGGAGGGAGACAAGAATCGCAAGCAGTGCAGGCAATCACTGGCAGTGCAGGGCCCAGTGCTGGGCTCGAACTCATAACCGTGAGATCATGACCTGAGCTGAAACCAAGAGTCGGACGCTCAACCGACTGAGCCATCCGGGTGCCCTCATGGACTCCGATCATATATATATAAACTGATGCATGCAGTCTGTACTCTCTTTTGGGAAGTTGGCCACTCCTGTGTGAAGTAGTGGGTGGAACAGTATTAGAAGCAAAGCTTTGCCTTGTGGTCTGGGACACGGTCAGAGGAAAAGAAGGGAAATGTGTACTGTATTGTTTTTAAACGTGGAACCTACTCATGCTATTGTCCAGTGCTTTGGGTTCTGTCTGCTCTCCTTTCTTGTGGTTACTTGGTGATGTTTCTTTTCTAGTTATTTTTTTCCTGCTCTTCTAGCAAACCCTAGTCACTCAGTAGTCCGCATACCAGTTCCTTGCTCATCTTCGTTGGTCTTTACGGGAATATATCTCGTGGGAGGCCAGACATCTCCTCACTTGGAGCTAGCTCCCAGTAAGAAGGGATAGCAACCTCAATTATGAGTCAGGTTGTATGCAATTCTAAACATGACCTCATTGAAGGAAACAAGTGACATTATTTCAAAATTAAAATCGGTATGTATTTTGTCAAGGTCATACAGTTGAAGTACGTAGTCACGTTATGATGTGGTAATGAGGTTCCAGAATTCTTGACTTCTCATGTTTGCATCTATCTGCTCCTGACGCCATAACGTTTTAAGTTACAACTTGAAGGGGCTTCACCAGATGACTGTTCTATCCTCCTGGCAGGCTGCCGTTGGACAGGTCCTGTCCACACACATGGGCCACCTCTCATGGTCTACGTTTGCTACGACTGTCCCTTCCTGTTAGTATTAAATTGACATAATTTAAAAATGTTGTCACCCATATTATCACATTGGTATCGTCTGTGACTTAGTGAAGCAAGTATCATTTTCCCTACTTGACAAATGAGAAGACAGGTCCAGGTCCGGAGAGGCCTGTTAACTTCCCCGAACTCAAACAGGTAACCTGCGAACTGATCTGGTACTAGGACAATCAATATTGAGTAGCAAGCGCTCTACTGCTTTGTTATGAACTTTGGCTTGTGTCGGTGACGTTTTATCCCCGGACTTGAAGTTCCAGATGTCATCTTTCTTGTGGCTTTTAAAGCTCTTATTTTTCACATTTAACTTGCACGCAAACTTAATTTGGTGCGAGAAAGCATAGCGCTCTAGGCAATACGCGCTGGTGGCTGTCATTTATGGGGAGCTCCCAGTGACCGCCATATTGAGAGAAGCCGCATCCACAGGAAGTGGCTCGGAAAATCTGCAGTATTCTTTCCCAGATGAAAATAACAAGAGACTGGACAGCACAGATACCAGGCAAAGAATACTGTCTGGATCCAGTACAGAATAACTCTAACCGTTCTTGGCTCTTCTTGAAATGCACGATCGTCTCTTGCCTTCTTTTCGGTCGGTTTACAGACGGCCATAAATTTAACGATACCTTAATGGATGTGAGGATCACCAGGAAATACACAACAGGAGCTGGCGCACTGAACTCACCATTCCATCACTACTTTGGAAAACGATATCCATTTGAGAAAGGGCCTCGATTTTCCCAGCATGAGCTTTAATATGAACACCCTTTGGGGCATCCATGCTTAGACTCCGTGTGGGAGACTCTAATCTGAAATGAGGTAAAGAAACAAACAACACACAAACAAAACAAAACAAAAAAAACAGTATTAAAAATAATTCCCCAGGAATCCCTCACTGACTGAATGGCGTTGCATGAAAATATAACTAATAAAGTATAAAGCACCATCGTGTCATGCTTGAATCCCACTAGAGTGTATACGCCTTATTGACCAATCCAGAAATAATGTGTTAGTTTCAGTAAGGAAATTAACTTCCCATTAGTGAGAGTCTACGAAATCAGTATCCTCTAAAAACGGATAAAACATTAGACAGCCCTACCCCTACGTAGTAGTTTCAGATGGCAGGGTTAAGCACCCTGCATATTACACACCAAAAGAAAATGCTACTTGTGAAAACTCTGTAAAGCTTTCTTTTTAGTGGAAACTCACACTTGTTTGGGGGAAAAAGACAGATTTAAGGAAGGATAACATGTTCCTTTGCCACCTGTTCATAAAATAGAATGCATGTTTAGCCTTGAGGTTTTGTTTTTTGTTTTTGTTTTTGTTTTTGTTTTTGTTTTTTAAAGCTTAGGAGGGTTACAAATGCAAAGATTTCTTTTGGGAAAGAAATGAGCTGGTAGAGTTGATATACTGGCAGGATGGAGACTGGCCTAGGCTGGCTTTGTTTTTTGCAAAATCTATCAGAGTCTCCTTGGGACTAAGTCAAACATAGATACAGAGCCGGGAATATATGGATCAGAGAAATACCATTTGCCTCTGCCTGAAAAAACACTAAATTTCCACCAGATGGCACACCATGATCACTTGAAAGGTTCAACCCAAGGCAACGCCCGACCCAACCTAAGGCAACCCAACCCCTAAGTCTGGAAGGCTGATTTGACTGAAATGTTTAAAGATCAGTAAGAAGTGGAACAGGATACAGGGTACAGGTCTGTGATCCACCCACGGCAGGGTAAGATTAGGGTAGGCATGGGCAGGGGAGACAAAGGGAGCGGCTCCAGAGGACAGAAGTATCTAGATCGTTAATTAGCATTTGAACTGATTGAATATTTACCCCATAGACCTTTGACTCGGAGGAACTGTTACCTTCAACTGGCAAGTTTTTGTCTACCACTCTTTGTTACAGAAAACAAAGTTTCGTTTTTTTTTTTTTTAATTTTTTTTTTCAATGTTTATTTATTTTTGGGACAGAGAGAGACAGAGCATGAATGGGGGAGGGGCAGAGAGAGAGAGGGAGACACAGAATCGGAAACAGGCTCCAGGCTCTGAGCCATCAGCCCAGAGCCTGACGCGGGGCTCGAACTCACGGACCGCGAGATCGTGACCTGGCTGAAGTCGGACGCTTAACCGACTGCGCCACCCAGGCGCCCCTCGTTTTTTTTTTTTTTTATGTACATCTCAATATGAAAAATTTGATGTTACGCATTTTGAAATTTATATTTACATTGAGTACAAGAAAACATTTAAGAGATATGTATGGAATGTATTGGTCAAATTATGTTAAGCTTAGGTTATGGGCTAACAATTAGATATATCCAGATGATTTGGTCTGTGGATTGCCTGCCCATTTTGCCACTTTGCCATCTGCTAATTATCTACATTTTTCCTGCCTGCATTGATAGAAAGAAAGGGAGGGGGGATGGGGAACGAAAGGAAGGGAGAAAAGCATGGAAGCAACTTGCAGAGGTCTGGTCCCTTTCAGGCAAACCACTGGTGATCTTGAAGACCCTAGTGAAGGCAAGTGTGCTTCAAGATCAGTCATCAAACCACAAAATGACTCCACTAGTCAGGTCCATTAGTCAGGACCAATCACTAGTTCTTAGCCAGGTTATAATACGGTGTTTCTGGAATAGCAAATTTCTTCCCCTTTGCATCACTTCTGACCTTGAAGATGAAACGTATCAGTTCAGCACAAGTTAAGACACATTTTACCAAAAAAGGCTGTGATTAGACAGCTCTGAAGTACACATTTCCATGAACACGGTGACCAACAGTCAGATATAAAAGAACTTACTTTTTTCTCTTTTGTTATATTTTAGTTTGCCGGTTAGATATCGAGCCCTTTCTTCAAATATGAACATATAAATATTTACTCATGGCCGGGGGTGCCTGGGTGGCTGTCGGTTGAGTGTCCGGCTCTCGATTTCAGCTCAGGTCATAATCTCCTAGTTTGTGGGATCGAGCCCCGTGCTGGGCTTTGCACTGACAGCACAGAGCCTGCTTGGGATTCTCTCTCTCCCTCTCTCTCTGCCCCTCCCCCACCCTCTCAAATAACTATTCAAAAAACATATTTACTCGTGACTTACATGAGGAACAAAAAGTTTTGAACACTGCTCCAGAAATACACTAAATAAATAAGCTGTGTATGTAAATACACAAACATGCTCACACACAATTCGGGTTATAAAAATACATTTAATTAAGATAATGTGATTGTTAAAGCAGGTGAGTTTTAAGCTGTGTTCCTTTTTAAGTAAAGACACACAGAATTCAGTAACTTCCCAAACTTTGGCCCGTATTCATTTTTGAGTTTAGGGCATGTAACTGGCCAATCACATCTGATTATAATATTTCTTGCTCATGTCATGTTAGTACCATTCAAACAAAGGGGAAAAGTTATTGAAACATATGGATAATGTTTTGATTTCAAGCCCTTTCAGGCTCCCATTAAGCCCAAATTTTGCAAAGAGGGTGAGGGAGCAGGGAGCATAAACGCAAACTGACAAGAAAAGCTGGCCTTGAGGCAGCACTGGCCAAATCACGCAAGGGCTAGATCGTGTCCCCTGGCAGACCATGCCGACCGCTAGGCCCTGTTCACTGTGTTCGTCTTTAATCTAAACGTGGTGGGGGAAAATGCATTTAATTCATTTCACCCTTATTTATGAAGTCCCTATTATGTGCTGTTCTAGGTTTGTAGAAAAACAGGAGCAAACAAGGCAGACAAGCTTCCTGCCTTTAGGAGTCTAACATTCAAGCAGATGAAAGGCTGTAAGCAGAGGAACGACCCGATTCCAGCTGTGTTTTACAGACAAATCTATTAAGTCTGCTCAAGACAGATAAGCGGCTCAGAGCTCTCCTCTCAGTGCCCACTTACACATAAATGCTGGCTAAAATACAATGGGGAAACAAAATACATTAAAACACATACTAGGCATAAAAAACAACAAGCAAAGGGCGTTTTCATTGTGCCAGAAACACAAGAAACTCCTAGAGTGATGAGTGGGAGTTGAAATGCTGGAGCCCTGGAGGTACCGGGCAGACTAATGCCATGTGGACTGGTATTTTAAATCTCTACAAGGAAGGAGTTGTGGCCAACTACGGGAAGGGGGTAGGGGGGGCAGGACAGAGGTGTTTGGAAACGGGCTCTGGGCACACACATGGGAGGTGAAACGCAGCATGGTAACAATCCTAAAGCAGGCTGCTCGTAAGGGGATGTGAGCAGAGAGTCTTCAATCATGCATTAGTGTAGAACCCAAACGCACACACTATTCAGGCCTTGCAGGAGCCCAACCTGGGAAATACTTATAAACCCTGGCTTCAGAACAGTGCCCCCTGCAGGGCCCGGGCGGAAGTGAAAGTGAAACAGACATGAAAGGCAAATGGAAGGGTCTCCCCGACCCCTTCTCCCAGATGAAGAGCCAAAGGGCATGCATGCCCAGAATTGCCAAACCACATGGGCGAATCTCTCAACATGAGGAACTAGAGATAACAGATCAGTCAGATCAGTCAACTAACACGTAACTAAGTTCAGGGCATCCAAAGAGATAAATCAATGCTCATAGAACAAGACCAGAGTAGAAAAAGAAAGACTTAAAAACCAGGTAAGCAGGTGCGCCTGGGCGGCTTAGCTGGCTGGGCGAACGACTCTTGATTTTGGTTTTGTGTATGATCTCACGGTTTGTGAGATCGAGCCCCCAGTCAGGCTCCACGCTCCCAGCACGGAGCCTGCTTAGGATTCTCTGTCACTTCCTCTGCCTCTCTCTCGCTCACACACACAAAAATTAATAAGCGAAACTTAAAAAAAAAAATGAAAACCAAGGAAGTAGAAATCCATGAAGTAAAAAAATTGAAGTCTTCCGGCAGGCTAAATGGGAGGCGTGCCACATATGAAAAGAGAATAGGACGTTGTGAAGTGGCTTTGGTAATTCAGTGGAAAAACGAGAAATGTAAAATCTGAAATAGAAGTTTAATGTTTTTCAATGCATAAAATAAAGCACATAGACTTTCAAAGGGAACTAATGGCTTTTAAATACAAATGCAAAAATATCTTTCAATGGGTGATACAGCAATTTATGAGCTTGTTTAGTGATGTATTAAATAAGATCTGGTCGGAGGTCTTCCAACTAGTGTAATTTCAAAGCAGGGAAGAGTGTGTAACGTATTCCGTGATGCTAGCTGTAACCTTTACGTGATACTGAGGTACCTCTGGCTTCTACAGACGAAAAAGTCAGAGAAACTGCTGATACTACTGTGGTTTGTTGCCTCTCATTTATAGCTGAAGGAATGCAAAATGTGAATTGGAGGTCAGCGAAAATGAAGGATTTCTTTTTCACGTTCAAAATCATTAGCCCGCTAAATTCTATTCTTGGATACCCAGGGGATCCACAGACCACAAGTTAAGAACGCCTGTACTCTGGAGAATGAGAAGACAGAAATGACGAGGTCACGGTTAATCACTTTCCAGAATTCACAAATAACAAGAGTTCCTAACACTGAAGTGGCAACCTAATACCCAAGTATGAATTAAGACATACCCGGCACCCAGACACTTGGCGGTAGAACTGCAAAACTTTGAGATTCATGAGGAATATTCAGAATGAAAATTGCTCACCAAAGACCCAAAAGTAATGAATAATATCTCGAGAATGCTGATGAAAATTTACCATCGGCCTAAAAATCTATCCCAGCTTAACTATCATTCCACTATGAAGGGACTAGACATTTCAGGCCCAGAGGGAAAAGTTTACTCTCTATACAGTGCTTCTAGGAACTAAAACCAGAGGAAAAGAGTATTTTGCAAGCACCATCT